ATATTTCTCAAAATTAAACATGACCCGTTAACAAAATCAGACAAATTGTTGATCAGTATAAACCCCAGCAACAGAATATGTGGAAAATTATTTGAAAGAACAAAAGGGTATTGGTATTTCTCACATCATTGTCCATCACATGAAGAGAATGATCCTCAGACCATAGAATTCCTCTTCCTCCTCCTCCTCTTCTTCTTCTTTGAATGGTGAGAAGAAAAGAAAGGGTCCATTACAAAGTTTGAGGAGGTTCATGGAGATTGACTCGGAGGGGTTTGAAGAGGTTTTTGTGGGGTTTTGGATCTCCTTGGAAATGGGATCTAACGCCATCTCTCGCTCGGTCGCGAAGTTCGTGGGTTTTGTTGGAAACAATGCTCGATATCAGACACAAATTTTACTCTTGGTTAGGTGTTATATTCTCATCCATTCATTTTAATTTCCAATCACTGCTCCTCAACATATGTGAATGTAGACCCTAATTTTAATGAGTGAAGGATAATATATTATCTTATTACTAAACACAAAAACACAAGTGTTTCGGTAACTTAAGCCATACATATTTTCTTTCTCTCTCTCTTCTTATCATATATATCTACCTTATTTCTTATATTTCAATATATATATCATATTATAATTTATATCATAGTATTTCATATTACTACTATAATATATTTCATTATATAATCTTATTACCTAATATATTATATTTATATATAAGCTATATCTTTATCACTATATATTATATATGTGTAAAATTTTTTAAGATGTAAAGAAATGTGGGTATGATATGGTAATTGAGTTGACAAAATCTCCTTCATCTTTATATTCCAATGTGGGACGACATTTCAATGAGTTTAGGAGTGCATAGGGATATGCCTACCATTTTGAATGAGTATCGGTAGATTATGTCACATCACTTACTAACATCAACACATTTTTCCTCTTCTCTCTCTCTCTCTCTATATACTTATATTATACTATTATTACATATATAACATCATATATATATATTTAATATTATTTTATCAGAGAGAGAGAGGAGAGAGAGAGGGATTTAATGGGTATCCTTGGTAATTAAGGACGGGAATTTCCTCCTTAATGCCTCTAATATCGCATGATTTGAGCGAACATTAATGGATGATCCGCTCCGTTAAACTTGATCTACATAATTCCATAAACCCCAACACACCGAGTTTGGACTGAAATCTCCGTCGTCGTTTTGAGCCTCATCGAGCCATGTGAAAAGTTCTTATTCATTCAATCAACCGTTAAAATTGATACCGAGGTGTATGCAAGGGTCAAACGACGAGGGTTCCCCCCAACGTTGGTATGTTAGGGTTCTCACCGAATCATGTAGATCAAGTTCTTAAGCGAGGCGGATCCATCCCACATGCGCTCACTCTCATGTGATTTTAGATGCGTCAGGAGGACAGATCCTCCTATGCAAGGATCACCCATGTAATCTCATATATATATACCCTGGTAATATACTAGCTATTATATATATTCACGTTACTATATATTAAGTATTATTAGTCTATACTAAGTTCCTATCTTATTATGAACTATTACCTACCACGTTCTGCTCTTACTTTATATGATATACTTATGTCTCTACTACGTCCGAGAGAGAGAGCGAGAGAGAAAAACTTATGTTCAACTTAAGTGGTACATCCACGCAGAACCGTTTCTACTCATTGATGAAACAGTACCGAGATCCGGCATCATACTGAAGGAGACTCTTTTCATCAATGGTTACTGAACGTTCGTGGATGCTCCACCTATAAGTTGACTAAGTATTATTCTACGCTATACTCCTATATCTAACTCACTATATATAGATATAGTATCTTTATACTTTACTACTAGGTACATACTCTTTTCTATAATATATACATTATATATATACCCTTGCTATACGCTGCTACTTATCCATTATATTAAGCTCTACGTTATGGGTATGAGTATTCCTTGAGATGTGCTATGTAACTACTACACTACTGATAGCTTTATTGATAAGAACTTAATGCCAGAAAAATTGATGTATCGTTGTACCACTGGCAAAGCACAAATTTTGGCTTATAGCGGTACACGGTGTCTCATTCTTCATCCCACTCATTCAAAATGGGGACCATATTACAACTCTGCATGTGAGATGCGATCCCCCACATTTAAATGAAGTGAAGGATAATACTGTCACCCTCACTACACGCCAACATTTTTGTGCTTGGTACAACATACTCATCTTTCCTCTCTCTCTCCTCTACACAAGTTTAACCGTATATAGCTATGCGTCTGTATTTATAACGATAATAATCTTATATTCTTATACTATTACTATATATACTATATAAATATATAATATATTCATTTCTCGTACTATTTATATCTTATCATATATTACTTATACCATATACTATTATCTAGATATAGATATATAATATTCATACCTTTATACCTATAATATCACTCCTGTTGTATCAGATATACTTCCAACGTCAACGTTACTCTTGTGTTCAACTCAAGTGGACATCTAACTCTTTGTCCACCACACTGTCTTTTATCCACTCATCTTATATAGTAACTATTTACAAAAGTCCTCATATTCGATGCAAAAATCCTAGGGAATGCATATCCTAATGGTTAAGAAAGCTTTGGTGAATTGTTTACTTAAGTTTGACATAAGTTTTTGCTCTCTCCTCTCTCTCTCTCCTCTCTAATATATATACATATACCATATAGAATACTTAGACACTGTACTACCCCTCACTTAATCTATTAGTTATAATAATATACTAATCACTCCTATATATACTATATAACTATTATATTTTATTTAACCTTTAGTCTTACTTGAGAAAATGTGTATCGCTTCTGGTACTAAGCATAAACCCCGTTATTCGTACCTTTCTCATTTTCTCTTTCTGCTGGTAGGATGTGCGGTAATCCCTCGTACACTTATTTAAAATGGTTAGCATATCCTTCTGGCACTCCTTAACCCATGTGAACCATTCTGTGGTATCGTGGATCCCTATTTTGAATGATATGGCTAGGAGGATTTGTGCGCACAATCACTACCATACGCAGCAAAGATGCTTGGTACTAAGCATTCACCCACAATTTATATAACTTATATGATTACCTACTAGTTACTCATACCCACACACGAGATAAACGACTTTTACATAAAATGAATATTTATATCATTTTTTTGTTTGATAAATTATGATGATATAATTGAACAAAAAAGGGCACTAAACTTCATAAGTATCATTATTGTAGTCTAGTGATAATAATTGAAGCTGTATATATATATTATTACCTTCAACTATAAGCAACCAACAAGGATCAATGTATGACTGGGCTTTTATTTATTTATTTATTTATTTATTTAATATTATTATTATTATTATTTTGGTCCTAGTTAGAAAAAAACCCCAATACATCACTAAGGGCATCTCTAACCATACCCTCCAAATTTCACCCTCCAAATTAGAATATTCTAAGAATATTCCAATTTGGAGGGTGAAATTTGGAGGGTTGCTCCAACCCACACTCTCCAAATGTTTTTCTTTTTATTTTTTTTATCAAAAAAGCCATATAAATTAAATAATGTTGGATATAATTTACGTTAATAATTTTATTGTTAATAATTTATTTGGAAAAAAAATTATAACATTATAAAGGTGTCGATGAGAGCTTTAAAATGAACCTAATATTAATACTGCAATACAACATATTAAAAGATGTAGAGCGGGCTTTTGGTGTTCTTCAGTCACGATTTACCATTATCAAGGGACCATCACGTTATTGGGACAAGCGGAGACTACACGACATAATGACTGCTTGTATTATACTACATAACATGACTATGGAGGATGAACGCGATGCAGAACCAGAGATTATTGTTCATGACGAAATTTCAAGACCTGAAGAGATAGATATTGATGATGCCGAATGATTCCAACGATTCCTTGATCGACATAGGAAGATTCAAGGTAGGGAAGCTCATTTTATGCTTCGAAACGCACTAATTGAACATTTATGGCAGAAGCACGGCAACGAAGGAATGTAATTTAAATATTATAATTTATGCTTGTATTTTCTTATGGAGCAAGTTAAATAGATCCCCGTATTTAAAATTTTATGTCTGATACTTATTTATTTAATTTAAAAATTAATAATTTTATAATAATACTAAAATAAACTAATCTTAGTTTCATTTTAAATATCTTAATGAGCCATTTCCAAATATATAATGATTTCAAATATTAGATTAATAATTTTTTAACTATATTTATTTGAAATTAAACATCTAATTTAAATTACTAAGAAGGATGGCAAAGTGGTAATTTTTAAGAAATCAAATAGTTAAAAATGGCAAAACTGTAATTAATAAACCATGAATTTTGTTATGGAGAGACCCTTCATTTTTTCTCCTCACCCTCCAAATTTGGAGGGTCAAATTTGGAGATCTCCAAATTTGGAGAGTGGTTGGAGAGGTTCCACTCTCCAAATGTGGAGATTTTGGAGATATAGAGACCAGTTGGAGATGGTCTAACAAAAACATGTATAAATGATAGGAGCTAAGAACTTCGCGGGGGATCTACATGGGCTCATGGACCTCTAATTTATGACAATTTTTTTTAATAATAACGGATAGCGTCTACCATATGTTACATCTAGCCCAAATCATTACCTTGATCAAAACATGCATACTCCGAAGTTCTAAACAAATAAGTTTAGTATATAACTCAAGAATCGGTGGTGTTGAAGTAAGAAAGAAAAATGAGAGAAAGCATGAAAAAAGACCAAAAATTCAAGTTGGTTATTGACAATTATAAACAAACTTTAAGAGATAAGAAGGATACCTAGAGTCCTATACTCGGATAATGGAGAAATATGTTGAAGAGAACACAACAGGGTTCGGTCTCCATACATTTATAGAAGGTATAAATTGGCTTCCCTCCTCTTGAAGGATGCTTTCGCTTTTAATAAAATAAAGGTTCCCTTCTCATATTGCAAGCAAGAATAATTTAGCTTCCTCTAATGACGTTATCTCGTCCCATGTAGTCTAAACTTTAAATAAAAATAATAAGACAATGATTACATTGATAGATCGTGCCTTCTCGACGTTCTCGTTTGCTTGTTTCATTGACAACTTTTCCACGCAATATTTGATCTTAAATAGAGCTTTTGGGTGTTTAGATATAAATCTTTAGCTATAAGATATGAACTCAAAAGATAGCTAGAAATGTCGTCGTTGTTTGGGACATCACTAACAAAGATGCTACTCAAAGTTTTCTTGTTAATCAAAATGTTATTCACGCTAATTGGGATTAATAGTTATGCACAGTGCAATAC